GCAGCTAACATTAACATTTCAGATTAGGGAAAAAAAGAAAAACACATTTATTATTATTATTTTGGTATAAGCATTTAATGACTAAAAGCTATCAAAATGTTGTGAGTTAAGTGATTTCATTTACCTCAAAAACATCAAACACAAAATGTTCTTTTGAAATAGACTACGCTTTTTCAATAAAGCACTTTTGGTGTGAAATTCAGAGTCACCTACAAATCTATATTTAAATATCAGTTACTCTGAAGGAAAGAATTCCCTTGTGGTGTGGGCAGTCAATGTGCTTTGCTGCTAACCGGGTGACTTCTTGTTGGAGTCTCTCCAGAGATGTCTTGAAAGAAAGATCTTGTGATCAATTTCCAAAAGGTCACAATCAGGAATACAGCTCTATTCTAACACCCACGGGGTCACTTGCAGTCGGTATCAGCTCAATGACCACTGGTTGGTTTCTATCTTAGAGGAGAGCCTTGCCCAGGGTCAGTTTCCAAAGCTTGTCAATCCAGAAAAATACCTCTCCTCCCCCAGTTTGAGAAGCCTTTGCCAAAGTGCTTGTCTTAATGAAGACACCCATCGGAAAGCACTGGTTTTGACATCCCCGGTTCTAGTTAAGTTGAATTAGAAGAGTTACATCATGGCCATACTAAGCATTTGCCACATCATGACTAGAACCTTTCCCAATGAACACTGATGGAGATCATATATATTTTTATTTGGAACTAAACGTATTTATTAGTTTATTACAAAACAATTCTACATGCCATTAGGGTTACATAGTGGAGACAAGCAAACCTGAATAGACTGTGAAAACAAAAATAGGCTTTTAGAAATGTGGTCCTGTCTCCCCTTAAAATCATACTGTGTCCTTTAAGGATTGTCTGGGGAGCTCATTTCCTCAAAGACTGTGTTCAACTTGTTCAAGAGTTAAAAGTGACAACCATTTCCTTTCACCAAATAAGACCCACACATAGAATCCAGTAGATCAGCCATAAAAATGTACATGTTTTGTGGAAGAATAAACGTTGTTGGGAAATTCCCACTGGAAAGGACAAGCAGACCAGCCTGAAGTGGCTAGAAGAACAGAAGATACTTCTTCAAAGACAGACCTACAGGAAAAATACAAAACAGTAACAGCAGTCCGACTGATTACTACAAGAACAAGCAAGTTGCTCACCCAGGAGACATCCAGGCAGGTGGTCGGGTCTCCTCAGGGCAAACCTGATTCCAAGACTAAGACTCAATGGGAATACACAGGCAGACACGCGCTCTGATGGTTGACCACGTGGATCACTGATAAGGGGAAGTGAGGGAAAAACAGCAATGAAGCTGCAAGCTGAGCCCTACAACGTTCAATAGACTCCTGTGAACCCAGGTGGAGACCTGATTGGCCAGTAGTTTGTCAAGACCTGGGAACTCATGGGCCCAGTGTCCGTGACACAGCCACAGAGGACTAGAGTGGAGAGTGAAGCATCTAGCTGATAGGAAAAGAGGGCATATGCATAAGAACATCCACACTTGCAGATAACACCCATTTGAGCTGGCTTCAAAGACTGGTTGATCAGAGTTCAACTAGAAGAAGAAAGAAGAGGAAAAAAAGAGTAATCTGATACAATTTGATGAACTTGACCTACACCTATGGATGCAGTAGCTCAAAAGAGGGACCAAATCTTTACAGCCAGGATCATTCCCACCACTTACATACACCGAGTAGACAGGGATGGGCAACTTGGACACTGGCTACCCAAAATGGGGGGGAGGGCCTTACAAAGGCAAGAAGTGACTGGCTTACAATCTTTCAAGGGGAGCCTAGATCCAGAGGGTGCAGAGGAAGGTAGAATCTCCACTAAGTAGTATCTAATCTGTCTGGGCAGGGCTGATGAAAGGAGATGGGGATGACTCTTGTAATGCAATAGTGAATAATTGTTATCAGAACTGATTGTGAGGGTTGGAAATGTAAAGGTAGACATTTTGTAGCAAAAGGAGGGGTGTGATTGACTTTGCAGTTCAGGAGAGGAGGTCCCTGAGACCATCAAGGGAGAAAAGCGGATTGCAGGACCTTACTTATGCATGTGCACAGATCGCCTCGAAATTTAAAAAGACAGTTTTCAATTAAAACCAAATGGCCACAACTGGCCCTGAACTGTTTACCACTAG